TCAAACCCAAAATTAAATCACAGACAAAAAAAATATTTAATAAGCAAAAAAAATATACATCAAACAAAAGAACGAAATCGTAGAGGAAAAAATTTGACTTATCAAAGGAGTCACGTAATTGGAAAAAATGATTTCCTTATGATAAACGCGGTAAAGACGAATTTAAATATTTTACTTTGAATATGTATATAATTTCAGAAAAGTATAAGATCTATAAGAAAGTTTATTCGAAATGAACACGAAACGAAAAATCTAAATTCGACTCAATTTAATATTTATTACCTTACTAGTTGACGTTTTGAGAATTAACGAATCGAATTCAATCATTGAATAAACATAAATACTAAAATTTTCATCTTTCGTGTCAATGCGATCATCATCATCCAAATATAAAAAAAGAGGAAGAAAAAGAAAGGAAGAGAAAGGTATCCTGTTCACGCGCCGCCTAAAATAAGTCGAAATAAATCCTCGATGGAATCGACAAATAAATGGCAAATCGCCAGAAGAACGACAAGTTTACATAACAGAGAAGTTTGACAGTGCAACGAGCACGTGACTCTATCTTATCGACAAATATGCCTCTGCGGCGTCTACGATTCTTTCGTTATTCTTCTTTTACGTAAGTGGCCCGCGTGTATCGACCGGTCACCAACCGAGATGTGCATTCGATCCATTGTGAACGTTTCGCGCCAATTACCGACAGGCATCCCTGATATTCTAAATCGTTCTCTATGATGAATTGTATACGACACGAGGTATTGGATTGAATGAAAGAAGAGACGGAAATACAAGTTCAAGAATGATTTATGGGTTTAAGAAATATTTTTGGGAATATTGAAGAAATAGAATTTGGAATTTTGTAATTATAATGATGTAATCGATTTTTTTAGAGGTTAGGTTTTTAGGTTTTTAGAGATTTTTGATTAATCGAATCGTAAAAATATTGTATGCATCATTTGGAAGAATATTGGAGAATTTTCAAGAATTTCTGAATAACTGGTTTGTGAAATTTTTGTATAATATCTACAAATATTTTATGTATAAATAAAAGAAACATTTCTCATATGTTCTCATATATTGTTCTCTAATACTTAAAATCACTTTTCTTCTATCAAATTCCTGTTAAACAATGAACAAAACTCGAGAATGTAGTAGAAGCCTTCGGAGAGAAGTTTACGTAAGAGTTGTTTCGGCAACTTGGGCGTTTCCCGCCAAGTTTCGTAATTCACTATTCCTCTAGACTTCTCTACGATCATATTGTGATTTTTCCTGAATTTCAAACAACAGATGAGACAATGTTCAAAAATAATTTTATCCAATCTACTCTAATTCCTCTTATTTTTAAAATTAAATTTTCACTCTTCAAATAAAATAACTTCTAACCATAATTCAAAAATTAAACGCATAAAAAAATCTTCTCTTCTAAGAATATTTTTCGCGTATCTAAATCTAAACACAATAAAATCTAAAAGATAATTTAAAAATTAAACACAATTACATGACATAAATACAATTACATGCAAAAATATATCAATTTCGGTAAAATCGATTCAACATTTCGATCATTATTTTTCGTATAACCTAACCTAACCTATTTTAAAACTAATCATGATTTAAAAATTAAACATAAACGAAAAAAATTTTATTTTTCATCTCATATTACTCTTATATTACTAACATGTCCAATTATATCTATTCCAATAAATTCGACTTAACGATATTTCTCGTATAACCTAAATCTAATCAAAAATTCAAAAATTGAATGAAAAAAATTTTATTTCTCCTCAATTATATCACCTAAAACGTCCAATTATATCCATTTCGGTAAACTCGATTCAACATCTCACGCGCAGCACCGTTTTTCGTGTCGCGTTTCTTCTAAAAATAAGTGAGACCTCGATGTACATATTCTCCGGTGGAAATAATACGTACCTTTATTGATTTATCATCCTTCACGCGAGTGTAATAAACCTAAAAGCCAGTCAACATTTCCCATTTCCTTTCGAAACGTCAATTTTATTTATTTTTAACTCTGAATACATTCTCGAAATTGTAACGGAAAAAAAAGAAAAATATTCGAAATATTTTAACGTCGTTGCTTGCTTGATGGTAAGGTGGAGGGGGAAAGGAGAGAGTTTCTTGAAGACAACTGTTGTTGATCCACCATAATGGCATATTGGTGTACAATAATAAATGTGGTGAGGGGAATGATAAACTGATTTGAATATCTCGCCATTTTAGGTTCATGATCTTTATTCGTTATTTCGTTATTGCCAATTGTTTAGAGCACGCAAATTAATTATGGAACGCTGCAAAGTCAAATAGTGTGGTGAGGAGGACGTTTTATCGAAATAATGAGTTCATAACTTGTTGTTTACGCAATAATGTTTTCAATATCGATGCAATTAGCAAATTAGCGATAAATTGATAACAATATATTGAAAGATGATGTAAGTGAAGATAAGGCTTAAAGGGTCATTATATGTAAATGTTATAAATAAAATATTTACGGAATATTCTTTTTTATTGCGATATTTAATCATAATTTATCATCAAACTTGTAATTTAAATTATTTCCAATGTAGAATAAATGAAAATGAATTCTTTAAGAATAAGGAAAAAAAAAATATTAAGATCGTGGATTGTAAATTCTTTGCCTTATTATTTGATCCAAGTTCAAAATTTTATTCAAGAATCGATCGAAATAAAATTATGAAAATTTTCGATCGTCGATTTTTTTTCATAACATTTTTTTTTTTTATTATATATTTATACTATGTATTAAAAAACGTGATTGTAAGACGAAGGATTGATACATTTATGAAAAATTTAAATACAACGCGAAATATAATACGCGAAAATACATTTTTATTCACATTTCATTTTTTCGATATCTATAAAATTATATTTTTTAAAAACAAATTAATTTGCATGAACATTCAATTGATCACATATCAATTTAAAAAAAAAAATATTTCCCTTTACATAACACAAATCTAAAACGAAATTTAAAAACACATTTTTATTCGATATATAAAATAAATAAATACTAAGAAATAAAACTCAAATAAGAAAATTACAAAACAATCCAATCCTAAAGATAATTCAATATGGCGGCGTAACGAAACCGGTTCACTCTACGTATAAAACTATAACTCACTATAAAATCGACGTATTCCATTTCGTAATTGTGTGATTCACAGTGAAAAAATCACGCGTTGTCGTAACAATTTCCATTTTAAAACGTTAAAAATCCCTTAATGGTTCTCGATTTGGGTTGGCACGGCACCGATGGGTGTCAGTTCGAAATATCGATTGCGGTCGTATTTATTACCGATTACGTAAAGCCAACGAGGCTTTTCTCCACGCTTCGCACGAATATATAACACAACAATTGTACCTCTTTCGATGCGACGTACAGCCGATAAGATTCGTTGTATTTTCGTACTGTGTTCTATATACATTATAATTCTATAAATTATTTTACAAGGAAATTAAAATCATTCCAATTAAAATTCCGATAAAATTTATATAAAAAAATTTTTTTTTTCAATTTTTGGTGCAATTTCATTTGGAAAATTTTTTTTACAACAGATTGATAAATTCTGAGTATTTTTTTTAATTTAAAATATTTCTATATTTTTATATATCACCGTAGAAAATCAATTATTTACATTTAAACTATACAAAATATATTCTAATAAGTTCCAAAATTTAAAATTTAAAATGTAAAATTGTAAAATTAAAAATTTTTAAATTTCCAACTTTTTTGTCAAAGAGCTATATCAAAGAAATAAATATACAATGATAACCATTATTTTCCATATTTCAATCATAGAGAACCCATAATTGCTATTCAACAATATTGAATACAATCAATTTTCATTTTCCACGCAAAAGTAAGTAAGAATATATAATTATAAAATTAATTTTTTTTTATCAAAAACATTTTCAATAAAACGTGAAAAATATTGGAAATCCGTCATTTTTTAATTTTATACTCGTTACGCTCTTTCGCTCATGCGAACGAATCAATATTCGAAAATTCACGTAGTCTATAGGTCAGTGGAACGTACATACATGCTACATTTGCATAACTTGAGAAACGCGTGTTCCGATCGATGGAAACAGCTTTCTGCTAATCGCGGCTTTTCGAAACTCGACAATTTCGAAATGCTCGTTCTATTTTCCAAACTTCGCGCAAACGAGTGGATTCTCGTTTGAGGCATGATTGCGACACCTATCGGCAAAAACCGTGGAAAATGGGTTAACACCTGGTGTGTGACGAACTAGTTGGGTGGCCATAAACGGATGGAAGGATGGTTGATGTTTTACACGTTAGCGGTAAATGGATCGTAAAAGTTGGATCTTATGAATTATTTTCTGTTGGAAAGATTCGTGAAGTAAAATGGAAGAAAAATAAGGGAAAAATATATTGAAGCAAAGAAATGTCAAATGGATTGTCATTTTATATAAGATCATAATATCAACAATAAAAATTGATAAAAAGATTTTTGATTGCATTTTATTGTAAAAGCTGAAAGTCAAGAAAATTTCTTAGGTAATTTTAGTTGTCATTATTCTGCTCAGAGAAGTTGAAGATTCTACTATAGAAACTAAAATAGTTGTCTGGAAATCAATAAAAGTTAGTAAAAAGATTTTGATTTTACATCATTATTATTATTATAGAAATAAATGTCATGAAGATTTTGATTGCATCTTATCCTATTATAAAATTTTGAATGTTAAAAAAGTTCTCAATAAAATTTGTGCAATTGGTATCTTATTCTATATTTCTATATAATTTGAAATGTTATGATGCAATTGAAAATTATTAAAATTTCGTGTACAATTTTCACTGCAGTGTTATCATTTTATTTTACTATATAAAATCTAATTACATTTTCAGATCAATAAAATTATATATGTATATAAAATTTAAAAATTTTCACAAAATGTAAATTTTTTCAATGTCCAATTGCATTTTACATTACCTTGAAAATTTGTATGCCATTTTGATTGTAATCAATGTTGTATCTTATTGTAATTGCAAAATCTAGAATATCATAAATTGTCAATTGAAGATTAATAAAATTTCATATATGCAACCAATGTTACAATCATATCATTCTAGAATTTCAAATATATCTCAAATTGCTAAAATTAATTTGAAGATCAATAAAATTTAAACGATCTAACGATAAATAATGAGAATGAAATTTAAGAACATTATGAAAAAGAAAAAATTTTAAAAATATAAAAATTTCAAAAACAAAAAATAAAAAAAAGACATTATTTCTATTAGAGAAAGATTAAATAATAACATGCTGTATATAAATTAAAACAGAACATTCACCGTTTAATTATTGACCACATCGAGACCCATCAAATTGAACCAAGTCGAAGCCAATTAAACTGTTCATCGCGCTCGTCTTTCACGTGGATCGATTATGGCTATTGAGAACTATCTCTTCGTCGAGCCTCTCCCTCGAAAAAACTGGGAAAAACTGTTCATAGAGAGGGAAAGTTTCACCAAGCGATTAATTAGACGAGTTTAATTAACATTCATGGTTTCGAAAGAATTACTCACTCGATCGAACTAAAATTATCTGGACTGAACCTGATTTCTACAATTTTTGGTGTCGTAATCAGATTTGCCATTTCTACGTTCATTTTGGTTTAATTTTGATTTGATTTCCCTAAAAAATATAAAATTCCTTAATTTTTAATTGAATATCTTTCTAAAAGAATGTATAGATTCTTTTTTAGTAAATCAATGATATATTATTTATTTATCAAGAAAAATTAGAAAGAAAAATTTATAGATTTTTACTTTTAATAAGTTATTTTTAATGATTATAATAATAAAATTATTTTAATAATAATTTTAATTATTTTAATAATAAAAATAATTTTTAATATAGATTTTGTGAAAGAAAATCCATAGATTCCTTTGTGATAAATTATATAATATTATATATTATTATATAATATGATGTAATACGATATTTTCATTTTCATTTCATTTCATTTCATCAAAAATTTATAAATTCATAGATTCTTTTTTGGTAAATCTTCATTCAATGATGTAATGTTCTTTTATTGAAAATAATTTTTAATATAAAGATTTTTGTGAAAGAAAAATATAAGATCTATAGATTCTTTTGTAGTAAATTATATAATATTATGTCATTATATGATGCAATGTGATATATTAAATATTAATATTATATAATTATATAATGTGATGTAATATTCATATATTAACAAAAATATAAAAGTTTTTAATATCAGGACTCCTCTGGAAAAAAAATTTATAGACCTATAGATCCTTTTTTAGTAAATTACATAATATTATATTATTACATAATATGATATAATCTTATATTAATATAATATTCATATATCAATAAAAATTTCAACATAAACATCTTTCTGGAAGAAACATTTATAGATTCACAGATCCTTTTTTATTAAATCATCTTTTATCATTCTAACAAAAATAATTATAAATCTAAAAGTAATAAAAAATAATTTTTATATTTTTATTTTATATCACTCTTTTCCAATAAATCATCTTCAAGGTTACAATTCCTATATTCAAACAAAGATGAGTTAATATATCAATGACAATCCACCAAACATGACATATTTTCCTTTAACCTTACTTACATGTTACAGAAAATCACACTTATTTACAGAGAGGTGAATCAAGACAGACAGAAAGATGAAAATTTTTGCCATAGGTCGATCGCCTTCGAATTGTTTCGATCAAGTAGGATCTAGTGTCAGGACGTTAGTTTTAAAATAAACTCGGCCGTTATTAACAGCCGGTCGCCGGATTAAAGGATGAATCATGCATGAACGACTCGGCCAATGAGTAACGACTTTGACTCTTACGTAATTCGGTGGCGACACACGAGTGGGCGACACGTGCGACACCTACCACTACACGTTCCAATTTCGATCGATCTGTTTAATTCAATTTTTCCTTTCTCTTAAAGATATCTTTGATATCCCGAATCATCTTTGTTTTTGTGAATCTGAAATCTAGTGTTTGATTTATTTCTTGAAAATAGAGAAAATATTTGGAATTATTGAAAAATGATTATTATAATTAGATTATTGAAAAATAGATTATTAGAGACTAAGTTGAAGATTAAATAATGTTTGAAGTGTACTCATAAGTCATTGAAATCTAAGTTAGTGGGACTAGATTATTAAGAACTAAATTATTAAAGATTAAATCATTGAATATTAAAGGTGCACCATTTGGTGCACTTGGACTTGCATAATTAAGGACTAAGTATTAATTAAGGATTAGATCATAAAGGATTATCTTAGTTATTGAAAATCTAGATAATTAAAATTAGATTATTAAAATTTAAATGATTGCAACCTAAATTATCAAGATCTAAACTGTTGGAGTTTAGATTATTAGATGTATATTATTTAGAGCTAAATTTTTTGAGTTTTAAATTATTGGGATCTAAATTATTGGTAGCCTAAATCATTGGAAGTTAGATTACTAATATAGTAATAGATTAGATTAAGTTAGGTTAAATTAGGAACTTAAGTTATTGGAACTTAAATTATTAGACCTAGATTATCAAGGAATTTAATTAATGAAAAACAAATTATATCGGCATTTAGATTATTAGAAAATATATTATTGTATGTTTAGATTATTAGTGTTAGGATATTAGATTATTAAGATTTAGATTATCAGAACCTAAATTATCGAAAGATTTAGATTATTAAAGGATAAATTATCGACACTTAGATTACTTGAGATCTGCATTATGTAGGGCCTAGATTATTGAGGTTAAGTTATTGGAACCTAAGTTATTATAATTATTGGGACTTAGATTATCAGGAAATCTATATTATCTATATTGAAGATTTATATTAAATTATTAAAAATTATAAAAAATTATTAAAATTATTAAATTATTAAAAAAATATTAAATTAGGTCATCGGAACTTAAATTATTAGAACTTAAATTATCAAAACCTAAATTATTAATCTACATTATAGGGCCAAATTATTGGTGTTTAGAAATAAATCATTGAAAACTAGACTAAGTTATTATTATTAATTAGATAATTATCATTATCAGGATTTAGATTATCAAAGAACCTAAATTATTGAAGATTTACATTAGATTATTGAGATTAGATTCAGAGCTTAGAGATAAAGGGTCTAGATTATCAGAACCTAACCTAAATTATCAATCTATTTTAACGTATTTTATCTGAATTGATACCCAAGTTATTGAGCGTAAGTCATTGAAAGCTGAATAATTAAGATCTAGATTATCAGGATTGAGAGATTATCGATGCCTAGATTATTATTAATGACAAACTTTAAATTACTAGGATTTATATTATCAGAACCTAGATTATAGATTATAAAAGCTTAAGATCTAAATTATTGTAAATTATATCATTGGGACTTATTGGCTATTTGAATTTTAAGTTATTAAAGGTTAAGTCATTGGAAACTAAGTTATTGATTTAGATATTAAATATGAAAAATTATTGAGGATTAGATTTATCGAGCAAGAAAGATAATCATTCCAACGCAATTGCTCTTCTACTATCCAAAATCTTTTTTAAAAGAATGCTATTTTCTTAACAATAAATTAATATATATATAATTCATCCTATCCAATCGAAATTCAAATAACACAATTCTATTCCCAATTGCGCGTAATCTATCTCAATTTTCCCATGCAACCTAACCTCACAAACTCACATTCTCGACCCAATTAAACGCGAAGTAATGCTACCTGCACGACAAAGTGTCATATTTACCTAAGTATTTCATGATCGATGTCGCAAGATGAGCCGCGAAAATTATCTCGATCAATCGAACACATTATAAAATGTGTATTACGTGAATCAATCGTGACATTCGCACGAAATTTTTTCAAGATTTTCATCGCTTGTTCAGCAACGATTCTCTAATCTTTATATGAAGATATTCTCTTGGTGAACATGTAATGTTATTTATAGTGTTTTCAGAGAAAAAAATGGATATTATAAATTATGGAAAAAAATTAGTGAAAATTATAGAAGAAATAGTGTGGAGACAAGAATATTTATTGCATTGTTGTGATATTTCTTAGTATATAATACTAGGAATTATTTTTTAACGTTTGTTGGAATTTTTTTCTGATTTTACATACATATAGAAATAATAATAATATAGTTGTTTTATATATTTTAAATCTAACAATAAAATTTTTGTGAATCGAAAAGAAAAGATTTTGAGATAAAAGTGTATTGCAACGTCAATATATTTCGACATAACCTCTATATAATTTAAATAGATTTCAAAAAATCTACGTTCTTTTCAAAAATCAAATCTTTTATCTTTAATATTTCTTTTATCTGATTATTTATTTTATTTTCCAATTATCGATAATCAATAATCTGCCATATTAAAATTCATACTATTAAATAAATTCTACGTGTCATTTTCTATATAGAATTTAATTCAAACAATTTAATATTCACATCAGTCAGACTCTCAATTAGATTTCAAAAATATGTTCAAACCGTATTTCCAACACCTTTCTCTTTCTTCTTTCATTTCTCAATTTTTTTTTTTATTTTTTATTTCCTGATCAATCGACTGTTTAATATAAAAATTCGTAATATTAAAAATTCCATGCGTTATTTTCTGTATTCGATATAATTTAAATCGACATTCGAGGAACAAGTTGCAAGACACACGAGTATACGAGTTCTGTCCACGTGGCCACGGTATTGTAAATCCGCGATAGCTCGTTTCGATTACGTAATTACGAGCGATCGAAATTAATCCACAGAGGCGCACGTGATCCGTGTCAAGGCAAGAATAGCTTTCCAGTTGCTCCCTCGAGGTGGCAGGATGCGTGAAAGCGGTAAAATTCTCCATCATGACAATACTATATACGCTTGTATAATGTACACAAGGAAACTATTTCTATAGTTCTAAAGTTTGAATACTAAGTCTGCATGTTTATTGAATAATTGAATTTTTGATAATCAATAATACAGTGCCTATATACTTTATTATTATAATACCATTGAGATAATACAAAATTTGATACAGAAAAAATTGAGATAAAAGTAATTGTAGTAATATTGGACACGATAATATGAAATAAAATAATTAAGTAACGTTTCCATAATTTGATACTTTTACGACTTGAATCGTAATATTTAAGCCACTAAAGTTAATCAATCATATTGCCATCGATTTATAACCAATTAATCCACGTATATTAAGCCATTAGCTTATCGAATTATCAACATAGTATATAGATGCAAAAAAAAAAAAAAGAAAGAAAGAAAGAAAGAAAAGAAACGATTAAACGAACAACTTTTAAAATAAAATTATTCCAAATTAACTTATCGGCCAACCTATTAAATAATGACTCTCACAGCAGGAAACTGGTTTCAGCATAAATTATAATAAAACCGTTCACAAATAGTATTTGCACACGCATGACAATTGTTTTCAATGCTATACAAAAATAAGTAAACGATACCTATACATGTACTCTATTTAACCTAACCTAATCTAACTTGTATATACGTATATATATACATATATTAACAATTCCTCGACAAGTTAATCTAACTTAACCTCTACACGTGTGGTTATATATGTATATAATGTGGTTATATATATAATATAATTTGAACATTTGATATTTGGCATCTAAATTAATAATTCTCAGATAATCTGTACATATATTTACACATATGGCTATATATATTTAATTTGAATACTCGATATTTGGCATCTAAATTAATAATTCTTCGATAATTTAACCTAACTTAATCTAACTTATACATGTATATATATATATATATATATATTATTTTATTTTTTTTATTTTATTAGTTTATTCATATGTATGTATACAGTTTGAATATTGATATTTGACATTTAAATTAATCTAATCTGTATATATACATATATTTACACATATAAGAGTATATATATTTGATATTTAAATTAATAATTTCTCGACAATCTAATATAAACTATACATACAGTTTGAACAAATTATAATAATTTAACCTATTTTAACCTAACTTATACTATATATATATACATATATATGTACATGTATGCGTATACAATTTGAACATTCGATAATCTAACCTATATCGATAATTTAACCTATACTATATAAATACATATATATATATGCACATACATGTATTATATAATTTGAACATTCGATACTTGATATTAATGATTCTTCGACGAATTTAATTTAATTTAATCTAACTTAACCTGCGTATATATACATATATCTACAAATATGTGTGTGTATATACACATAGTTTGAACACTTGATACTTGGCATTTAAATTAACTGATTCCTTGAACAAAGAAAATATCTAGAAAGGAACGAACGAAACGATTGTTTATTTATGATGGAAACGAGAATGAGGAGACGATCGAAGTCTGGATTGATGGATGGATCCAGGTCGCGACCCACTTTCGAATCTTTCCCATCTGACTTTGTTGTAGCAAAAATAGTAAACCGGATTTGTAATTATATTTGTCGAGAACAAAAGCCAGAATTGATTTATGAAACATGTCCTCGAGAGAATTTTAAAGAATGCTCTCAAATATTATATTTGCATCTCAAAATTTGTACTCTGTGAGATAGTATATTCATAAATAATAAATATTCATAAATAATTATAAATAAATAAATAATTAGAAAAACATCAAAGCTAATAAAAATAGCGGAATTCTCTGGAAATAATAATTGCGAAATCCATTATTACGAGAA